ATATTTTATCCCAAATAACTACAAAGGAAAGGGGAGACTAGGGGAAATGTTGCCATGTTTTAGCACTTTTGGACCTGATTGGGGCCTGCTTTCTAGCAAGAAGTGACCTGGAAGTTAACTTCCAAACTACTAGCCTAAAATGACATAAAGAAAGAAGAAGATGTGGCATAATTGTCTTCTATGTTTCTTTAGGGTATTTGGGATGAGGATTAGACTTTTTATTAGAGGTGCAGTCCTCTGAGTTCTGGGGAACCAATGCACTCCTTTAGTCCCCAGCAATTGGCCATGCCTGACAGGAACAATAAATAAATAAATACATTTTACAATTAATCTGTCAATTGCATACCATTCACATATGCACAAATGCCTTTACGTAGTGGGATACATTGTATCTTGCTGCTCTGAGAATGAATCGTGGAAAAATTCTACTCGAACCCTAGGAAAAAATCTTGATGCATTTGACTGAATCATCAAAGTAGCAAAAACCAATTCACTTGACTTTTTGTATTTTGGTACTTCTGACAATTGTTCCCCAGAATTGTCTATCTAACACTGAAGAGTTTAGTATTGCATCTTGGAAATAGCACTTTATTAGAACTAAGATTGTTGCACACTGCCCACTGCACTTACCCTATAATCCTTACATATCACCTGTCACATCAGCACTTTTAATCCCTGTACCCATTACTCTGGCCCGGCCCAGTTTTATAGTGTCTTGATGTATTGTTTATTGTAATATTGCTTTAACTGTTTTTAATTTGCTTTAGGTGTTGTATTGTTGTGTTGTGTTTTGAGGCCTTGGCCTTTGTAAGCTGCATCGAGTCCTTCGGGAGATGCTAGCGGGGTACAAATAAAGTTTAATAATAATAATAATAATAATAATAATAATAATAATAATTGTGATATATGCTTATCAGGTAGATAATCTGCTTTGAGCTGGATTATATGAGTCTATACTGCTGTATAATCCAGTTCAAAGCAGAGAATTGGAATTTTATATGGCAGTGTAGAAGGGGCCTGAGTTTACTGAGGTTCATAAGATAAGAATAAGAGTTCACTCGATGACATAAGTATTAAACATTCACTGGCTGCCTTATACTGGTCTCCTGTGTAATCCAATGCCTAGCTTCATACTGCTACCCACTCTTCTAGCAACATGATGACAAATAAATAGGAAAACTTAACTTTTGGTTGCTGAGAAGATTTTTTTTTTACATTTTACCTTTTAACTTCATTCCAACCTGCTCATTTTGGGAACTGAGACCACAATATCAGATCCACAGTGGTCATGGGCAAGGTTAGTTGACACAAAGCCCTCATTTCCTAAGGATCTTGCCTCTCCGCTCCCATCTCTCTGGACACCTGTCATTACTTAAAGAAATCCAGGTAGATAAGGCATGCCTTACGCTAAATACCCCCAAGGCTTTAAATTTTATCTGAATTTGGAAGCTAAGCGTGATCAACCCTGGTTAGTACTCGGGTGAGAGATCGCCAAAAAAAGGTCCTGTAAACTGTATTTCAGAGGAAGGACTTAGCAAAATCTCTTTGCTTTTCCTTGCTTTGGAAAATCCAACACAGTTTATGGGATCACCATAAGTTGACCTGTGATTAGAATTCACATGAGCACACATGCATTTGATTGCGTGTAATTAACTTGTAGCACACTTAAAGGAAGCTGTCCTGTCTTTTGGAATTATGTAGGCCAGGTTGTGTGTGCTCTGTGCTAAGAGAAACTGAAGTCTTGCTGTCTGAAGGATGGAAGGAAAAGCTGAATGCTGCAATCTGTATACATTTATGCAAATTAAGCAAATTTGCATGACCTCGTTAGCATAATTCTGCCACTTACTAGATGAGGGGATGCAAAGGAACTATGCAAGGCATTGAAGCATGGCATGCAATAGCCCTGTTTTGTCTGGCTGCAAGCTTCCAAACGTGATATTTTACCTACAATTTAATTTGAATAAAATTACCTATCCCCAAACCATTTTCCAGATGAGTATTCTTTAGACGTTATGCAGCATATTAAAAAAAATACCTCTTGCAGTGATAGTGAGTGTACTTTATCACACACATGCTAATTTTGCTGCTTCTCATCACCATTGTCATGGGTTGGGGCGTGGGAGCAGAATGGTCCTCTGGATATATTTACACGCCATACTACTTTATTTAAATGTTAAGAAACAGCTTAAAAAAATTGGATAGATACATGCACAGAATCTTTATAGAAGAATATTTGCTAGGTGAAAACACTTAGGTAAGGATGGGGTTTATATTGAATACAGTAGTAGAGAATATATTTTTCATGCAAAAGGTCTTAGGTTCACTCTCCCACATCTCTCCAAGTTGGATCTGAGAATCCTTACTAATATGGGAGCCACTGCCAGCCAATATCAGACAGTTTCACAACATGTCTAGATGGGCTGCCTGATCTAACTTGATATAAAGGGACTTCCTAGGTTCCTGTCACAAAATAATAAGCAGTATCAATAGTGACTTGATATTGCAAGCCTTCAAATAAGTTCTGAGCTATGTCAACTCTAACCCAGCCATAACTGGTTGAAATTTGTGTCCATGGTGACAAGTAGATGTTAGTATGCAGAGCATGAGGCAAGAATGGGCAGTAGTAAATTTAATTTCAGGAAGCACTAAGTAAAGGCCAAAACAGGCAGAAGTATGTAGTGTAGTCTGAGATGGGCCATAGGTTCCCAAAACGATGATGATGATGATGATGATGATACATAATTTCTTGCCTGCCCCGCCTCTCAGCTCAAGGCAGGTTACAACATTGCTAAAACACACATTCATTTAAAAACATTCCTTAAAATACACATATTATACCATATTTCCACAAAATACATACTAAAATATACAAAACAAAGATTAAACATACGATGCAAGTTTAGAATTCGTCATTAAAACTGTCTGGGTAGGCCTGCCAGAAGAGTTAGTTCTTTACTTGCGTCTTAAATTGCGACAGAGAAGAGACCGTGAAAAGCTACAGTTTGTTCAGTAAGAGATGGGATTCCCAATTCTCTGGTATTGAGCTTCTGAAATGGTAGAGCATGCAAGGTGGCATCAATTATATCTAGTATTATATTACTAGGCTCTGTTGAGTTACCACTGTTAGGACCATCTTAAATTCTAATGTTGAACTATTATAGCATTTTTCTTTGAGCAGTGATATGCTATCCTAACAGGGTATTTTTTCCTAATTTCCTTTATACTGGACAGATTTTGTTATCAAGAAATCGTTGAAAAGTTTAATGTGCATGCAGAGCACAAGGGTGCTTATCTGACACCTGAATGTTCCAGAAACACATCTTCAATTAGAAATTCCAATAACAACTGTTCTTTCAATGTTATCTCTCCCAGATTCAAAAATCCAAGTAAATGAAAAGATGTTGTTGGGCACAGCCGTGTAAGGCCTCCATCATCAGATAATGTTATAGAGAGAGACATTTTAATCTTGTTTTGTATGAGATCCAGATGTAATTCTTATATTCAAGTGATGTTTAAAATGTATTGAAGGAGTGAGTTGATAGCCCTGGAGACGAAAGTCCTTTTGCTATCAGATGATTTTTGTGTTAGAGCAATCTTCTGCGTCACTTAAAGGACAGAAGGAAAGACATGATTAAAACTTATTTCATCTAATGTTCCTGCTGTGAGGTTGATAAAACCCGTTAGGAATTCATTTATTTGTCACTTTTATTATCACTGTCTTTTTTTCCCTCTTGTATTCTTCTGAGTAGGAAATGCCATGACTGGGGGGAGGAAAATCTATTTTCTGTCAGCACCTCCATCTGTCCTTGGTAAACGCCATTTGCTGTAAAGGTCATAGGCGCTTGCATATAATTATTCAAAATTGGTGATGTGCACTTTGGCTCGATAGGGATATGAAGAGCAATGGGTACTGTTGACTTAGTGAGAACAGTCTATTATTATCTCCCTAAAAATAAGCAGGTTAAATTATAAACAACAACAATAAAAAATCTCACTAAAGAATTTATTGCATGGATGCCCACCTTAGTCGCAATCAAACAGCTGAGCCTCGTTGAATTTCTATGAACAGACTTACTGTACCTGATGAACATAATTATAGCCCAGGATTGTTTAAATAGACCCCTTGGGAAGCATCAGTTTGACAGGCGTATCATCATTGCCTTTCGTGTTTTTGTTTGGAGAATTTTAACTCTACAATTACTATCTTTTTTGTTGAAAACTATTGCGAGGGCTGGAATTTATCAGAAATGATGTATGTTTTAGATTTTATGGTGTTTATCCAGACTTGTGAATAGCCACTTAATTGTTACGGCAAGTAAGATTCTTTTGGCAGGTAGCCAGGCATGGAATAAGTTCTTTCCTCTCTTTAGGAAAGCTTGAGTTGCTACACATAATTTAGATGAAGAATAAGGCTCAGTGCTGTGGAATGATAGGAGTAATAATATGCATACCCTACCCTTCTCTCCCTTTACCCAATTTTTGTAGAAACACAACAATTCTAAAAATCCAATTGTCCCTTTCCAGCAGGCGAAGAAGGGCTGGTTGTAAGAGGACAGTTTAAGTTCGAAAGGAAAGTTTGCAGAGAGCCAGGTTTTGGTACCTCTGTGGACTTGGCAGACAGATGTAAATACGGATTTGACTCACAAGTTAGGCGGTTTCCGTCATGTCATAGTAATACTAATTAGAATGGCTTAAGCAGATGGGATTAAGTTTGGTAGGAAGTATTTGCGCCTTTCATTCTAATTGCTACTGGGATGTTAAACATCAGTAAGGAAGTGCCTCTATGTATATACTTACAGGAACACTTACTTTATTTTATTTTAATCAAAAGGGGCATGATTTTTTGTGACTCTTCCTCTTTTGAAACCCCTTGCAGTCAGAGATGTTGTACAGCCCAAGACATTATTTTATCATCTGAAAATATCCAGCTATCTCTTTTGAAAAAATTACAGAGATTATTGGCTCTCCACCAACGTTTGATTCTTCTTTCTTGTTTACAGGCTACATCCAGAAGATTAAATCCGGGGAAGAAGACTTTGAAACCTTAGCATCGCAGTTCAGTGACTGCAGCTCGGCCAAGGCAGGGGGAGACCTGGGCACTTTTGGAAGGGGTGAGTTGAGCCAGGATTTTATGTGGGTACAACCTTCCTTCTCAAGAGGAATGGGAAGTTTGTAAAAAGTATGGATATGCCAAACATCCCTTTCCTGGGTGGGATGAAAAACAGCTTTTATATGACCTGCTAAGTAGGAAACATACATGTGGTATGCAGTGTATTTTAATATCGAGATAAATGTTTTTAATGTTTATGTATAATGAATTCTTGTCCCGGCATTGAATGTTTGCCATATATATGCTGTGCTCCGCCCTGAGTCCCCTTTGGGGTGAGAAGGGCGAGAATATAAATGTTTTAAATAAATAAATAAATATTTTAAAAACAAAGCCAGCTGGTTATTTTGGAATAAGGTACAGACTTAGGGAATACTGATAATAGTGTCCACAACCTCTTGACCATGTTTTAGGCACCCTGAGATTGTGGTCCTAGATTGAGCAGTTCACAGTGTTGTGCTTGTGCACATAGTTCCAGCCTACATTCGCTGGATTTTGTTTTCTTGGATAGAAAGTATGTTTACCACTTGGCAACTGCTTGTGGGTGGCACTGTAAGGAATAGTGCTGCTCTTGTTATAGTGAATTTTAACCATAGTGGTTAGCAGTTAGATCTCTTATGCCCCCACTCAGCTTAACCATAAGTCAAGGATTGATCTTCTTGAGTGTTGTATGATAACCATAGCTTCTTTGTCAATTGTGTTCAACTGGCAGTGATGAAACTAAAAGTCATGCACTGAGGTAAACTGATAGCACACTTGTGTTGTCCACAAACCCCATATCTCCAGATTGTGTGGCAACACATATTGGGATCTTTTGTTCTGGAGCAAAGCAAAACAAAAAAACACTTGTTTTAGGACATGATAAACTAAACAGAGTGTTGCATCGTCCGCATTCTTGTTCCCAAGAGGATCACAGAGAAAGTGACTGGTCTTTCCCATCTGTTACAACTTAAGGCCGTTCTCTGCTTCATTCCATATGATTAAGCTTTCTGTCTACTGTATTGCACCAGCTGAGGTCTGGCTTCCTTCCTCCCTCCAGTTGGTTTCTACTGTGTGTTTGTATTAAAGTCTACCTGCTCTTTTAACGATTTCACTACTACGGAGGTTGTTCCACCTGCTGCGTTATACATTTGATTGATCAATTTGTCCTCGCCTTTGGCGCAGCAAGAGAGAGCTGGAAGGGATGCTGTGGTTTATCTAGCCTTGCCCTGAGGCATGTTGGCCAAGACTGCTGGATCTTGCCTTTTCTATGGCTTCATCTGGAAAGTGCAGGGATTCAGTATCATCATAATAACAGGCATAATTTTTTGAAAAAAATGTTTTAGTTCTTGCATTGTCAGGAAGAAGTTGGAGTGGTGGTGGCAGCAGCTTTATGTAGAGCTGCTAGGTGCAATTGTTCTTCAATTCCAAGGAAATTGCTTGGTTCTCCTGTCTTCCCAGATTGATTTTGAGCCAGAATTAGAAAATACTAGGGCTGGGCGGTTTCGTTTCATTAATTCGTAATTCGTTAATAATTCGTTAATTTTTTCAATTACAAAACGAACCATTCTGGAGCAATTATTAAAAAAACGAATTTTCAAAAACGTGTTGTAAATGCTTCGTATTTCGATATTGTATTCGTTTCGTTATTGTTTTGAGGTCGTTTCGTTATTATTTCCGCATGTCTGGGCCAGTTTTATGGTTTAATTAGTGAAAAAAAATTATAATATCACACCAACAGTCAACAACAGAGGGAGAGGGAAGCTTCAGAAGGTTTTGGAGGTTTTTTAGCGTATTTCGCGGTCGCGTCCGCCATTAACGAATCGATTCGTTATTGTTTCGGAAATCGATCGTTAATTTTTTACCATTTACGAAATTTCGTAAATATCGAACTTTTTAAAAGGAAAATTTTGTAATTATTTTAAATATCGAAACAAAAAAACCCCCCAAATACAAATCGATTTTAGAAACAAATTTTTCCGTTGTTACCCAGGCCTAGAAAATACTGTAGCTCAATGGCCATCGCTGATATTTCCATTGGGAAGGTCCTAGCTTCTGCCTTTTCGGATGTGATGATGGAATACTGTTTTTGGAGCAGACACTGTTGAGCAAGGTCAACCAATGGTCTGAGGCAGCTTCATGTATTCATGTGGGCATCAATATCCAGAATTCTGCAATCCATTTAAATCATTGGCGTAGATTTGTTTATTTTTTGTAGAATGTATTTGGCTCCTCCTCATTGCGCGGAGTGGCAATTGCTGTTTGATAGGCTGAAGCCATTCCATGTTGCTGGTCCCAACCTATTCCTAGGTCTCTAAATTTCAGCAGGAATTGCTTGTACTTGGCTGACTTTGAAGGGCTAGCCAAAGGCTTTTGTATGAAAATGAACACTGAAGTCTTCAGGATATGAAGTTTTGGTGATTTTTTTCTGTTTTTGCTGAGTACTGGGGGGAGAGAGGGAGACATTGGCTAAAATATTTATATTTCTGTAATGCAGTGGTTTTCAACCTGTGGGTGCCCAGATGTTTAGGCCTTCAACTTCCAGAAATCCTAACAGCTGGTAAACTGACTGGGATTTCTGGGAGTTGTAGTCCCAAACACCTGGGGAACCACAGGGTGAGAACCACTGCTGTAATGAAAGTTGAATACCGTTATATGGAGTGTGGAAATGGAAAGGAGAATCAGGGAACTGGTGAGAATGCCACCTTCTCAAGGCTCTTGACTTTATTCCTTGAAGCTTTACTGCACTAAACAGGTCTCTTCAGAGTGGAATACCGTTATATGGAAAACTGGACTTTAGGAGTCTCATGAGCAAGACTAGCTTACCCACAAGACAAAAAAGGTATGCGACCATATTGCCATACTCACCAAGCCCCCAACTTTTTCAGATTTGATGAGCCAGGGCCTAGACCAGGGGTCCTCAAACTTTTTAAACAGAGGTCCAGGTCACAGTCCCTCAAACTGATGGAGGGCCGGATTATAATTTGAAAAAAAAACCATGAATTAATTCCTATGCACACTGCACATATCTTATTTGTAGTGCAAAAAACACTTTAACAATACAAAACAATACAAAAATTAAAATGAAGAAATAGTTTAACAAATATAAACTTATTAGTATTTCGGTGGGAAGTGTGGGCCTGCTTTTGGCTGATGAGATAGGATTGTTGTTGTTGTTGTTGTTGTTGTTGTTGTGTGCTTTCAATTAATTTCAGACTTAGATTGATCCTGAGCGAGGGCCAGGTAATTGGCCTTGGAGGGCCGTATCTGGCCCCCGGGCCTTAGTTTGATGACCCCTAGCCTAGACAGTGGTTAAAGCAGTCTGCATTGTTTGTGGTCTTCCTGTGAAAAAATACAGTTCCCTGCAACACCACTTGCACCTCTTTGCATGCAGAAGGCAATTTCAGTTGGATATTGTCTTCCGCTGCAGAGATTACAGCACCTTTATGGCTGTCATTTGCGATGTGTTTCCCTAAGAAGATGAGCTGTCCCCCCTCTGAATGACCCTGCAGTACATCGGTAACTGTAGACAGTGAGCCTCTATCAAGTGAGCTTAAGGGTTTTTTATGAGCTATTTAGAGATGGCTGTGTGAGCCCCACAAATTTCCTTGTGTGATTTGATATCCATAAAAAAACCGATTAAGGTAGCAGACGGTTTACTACATATCCAATTTTTGGCTTAAAGCAGAGAGGACAGCCTCTCCCCCTTCACCCAGTTGCCATGCTTCTTGGATTTGTTGATGGCAAAATGTGAAATGTTTACTTTGAAACAAGGAAAGGAGCAGGCATCCTTTTGTCATGAGGAATTTTGTTGTGTACCCTCAAGTAATTTGGCAACCTCAAGGGGACCTTATAACATGGTTTTCTTGGCAAGACTTGTTCAGAATGGGTTTGCTATTTATCTCCCTCTGAGGTGGAGAGGGGTTGAAACCTGTCCATAGTCTCTTAGTGGGTTTCCATGACCAAGCAGGGATTTGAACCCTGATTCCCAGAGTTGTAAGCCAACTCTCAAACCACTACACCATGCTGGCTCCTCATTACTGACTTAATGGATTTCATTAGCAGGGTTGTGATTCTCCAGCAGGCTGGATGTATGGGTCTTTCTCAGTCATAAGGGATTGGTTCAAGAAAACTGAGTCCTGCAGATACTGGCATATTCCCAGTAATGTTGCAGGGAGCATTCTGAGACCTAGTGGTATGAGGAAGACACTGGGTATCTTGACCTGTACATATTATTTATAAAATACACCCCTTCAACATCTTACTTTCCAGAAGAGCGGGGAGGTCAGTTGTCATGAAGAGCTGCTATGTAGTGTGGGCCTGTGTAATCTGGGTAAACCTTGATCCGTTTCAGTGTCCAGAATTTCAGTGGGGGTCCCGATCCATTTTTTGGGAACCTCCTGAATTCCGGAGGGCAAAAATCCGTTTTCAATTTGGGAAGCCGAAATATTTGTTTTCAGTCTGGTCCATTGGCGGCAATGGGGGAGGGCTTCCCAGGTTTAAGCCCTTCCTGTGATCCTTTCCCTTCTCTCTAGAGGAGACCCAGCTTTAAGGTAAGGGCTGAAGACACTCCGCTTCCTGCAATCCTTTCCATTCTGTATTTAGAGGAGACTCGGGTTTAAGGTAAGGGGTTAAGAAACCCTGCTTCCTGTGATCCTTTCCCTTCTGTATTTAAAGGAGACATGGGTTTAAGGCAAGGGCTTAAGAAATTGCCCTTTCTGGGATCCTTTCCCTTCTAGTGGCTGCCTCCTTCCCCGCACTCCACGTGTTTCTGAAAGAAACCAAAAGCAGCCAGGTTTTGACAACCGCTGTTCTGTTCCGTCTGATAAAAAATTGATGGTGGAGCCCTTGCTTCTACAGGCATGCAAACCAACTGAACTAGCTGAAACCTTTTTGGAAAACGGATCCATGCACGAGCCTAATGTAAAGGGCCCGATCATCATGGTTAGCATTGCAGCTTGCAAGCACTGGTGTCCTCAAGACTGAATTCAAAGTACAGTGACAGTCCTCTAAAGCCAGGAGGTT